AAAAAAAAAAAAAAATCAATAATCAAATATGTCCCATATTTCCCACTGTATTTTTAGGTAACCAAACAGTCCTAGTGATGAGGGCAAGTTCTTCATGATAGTGTAATTCTAGCTACTAAATTTAGAAGGAATAAAAGAATCAGAAAAATAGCCATTTGCAATTCCCAGTGATTCAGGGCAACCATCACAAATGGATGCTAACTCATTAGGAAGATGCTGAGGAGCACATCTGGTAAGTCCCAGCACCACTAAAATCGGGACTGCTGACATTACAGCCTCCTAATACCAAGAACATATGAAGTATAGAGCATCAACTAAGCAGTCTTGCCAAAATTTGAACCTGAATCTAATTGAGCTTTTAGATGTAACTTTCCATTTACAGGAAACGCAGAGCTAGAGGAACAAGTTAAATGAAAAAACAGAAGAGAATCAGATAAATCCAGAATAAACCCCATCCTGAAGAAGGGTTAGTACAGTAAATGTTATAAAGCAGCTAACAGTTTGAAGGACCGGAACCAACATTAACTGACAAAGAACAGCTCCCATCTAAATTATCACAAAAATGTTTAAGTAAAAAAAAAGGAAAAAGGGGGGACAAAAGGGGTTTCAGATTGAAACAAGATCCTCATATTTCATCTAATGTATTCAATCTTGGCTAGAGTGCAACCAAATGGAAACAGAATTACTATAATACAAAACTTCCACTACAGCACGCTGTACGCACCTGTCCAAGCCCACCCCCAGCCTCCTGATGCTTCCAACTCAATTATTTCCTGGCCTGTTGGGCCTGCCAACGAAAGAGCACGTAGATATTCTCTTTAATCCAGTCTTTGTTATAAGGCTGGTATGTCAAGTTTCAGCTCAGCAAACCAGGCAGCTGACATCTGCCAGATCATTGATAAAATCAAACTGAATGATATCATATGTGACGGAGGGACATTTTACAAGCACCATGCACTCATTCACAGACTTGTAGTCAGTGTATGTTCTTATGCGGGCCTCCTGGTAGGCTGCACCAGGACAATGGTGTGAGACATCCCACCAAATTCTCTTTGCTGCAGCCGCCACTGACACCGCCATGGCTGCATGAGCTTAACAGCAACGCCTCCAGCAGCCAATCCCTCTTCCTTTAGATTTGATATGCTTGAAAACCATTATAATAAACGTTTGCTTGTTTTGAAGAAAAAATACGAAATAAAATTTAGTGGCAGCCGGGCATGGTGGCTCACACCCTGTAATCCTAGCACTCTGGGAGGCCGAGGAGGGAGGTCAGGAGTTGAAGACCAGCCTGAGCAAGAGCGAGACCCTGTCTCTACTAAAATAGAAAAAAAAAACAAAACTAGCCAGGCATGGTGGTACAAGCCTGTAGGCACAGCTACTCAGGAGGCTGTGACAGGGGAATCACTTGAGCCCAGGAGTTTGAGGTTACAGTGAGGTAGCCTAATGCCTACCTAGCACTCTACTAGCCTGCACAACAGAGCAAGACTCTGTGTCAAAAAAAAAAAATTAGTGGCAAGAGTTGACTGCAATTGCCACTCAGTTTTGTTTGGAACAGAAAAGATGATATTACCCAAAACTAAAATGTGTATGGTTCCTGGGATGCCAGACTGGAATGACTTACCTTCTGACAATCCTCTTGAAAGTAGATTGAAATAATTCTTCCATAACATGTTGCTGTTCCCGACAAAGAATTTCTGTCATCAACTGCAACAACATAGGACTTTGAGATAACTCCAATGCATCTAGAAACTAGAAAAAATATATCATCATCATCAAAATTTTGTTGGGTTTTTATTTTTTCTTTTTAATAATTCTAATAAAAAATACATAGAGAAAAATATAACAATTTCACAAAAAATTAAGAGAGGCTAATAATGTTTTTGTCATCTTTACAGATACAGTAAATGCCTGGCATATAATAATGTTCACTAAATACTTGAGGCTTTTTTTTTTTTTTTTTTTGAGACAGAGTCTCACTCTGTTGCCCTGGCTAGAGTGAGTGCCATGGCGTCAGCCTAGCTCACAGCAACCTCAAACTCCTGGGCTCAAGCGATCCTCCTGCCTCAGCCTCCCGACTAGCTGGGACTACAGGCATGCACCACCATGCCTGGCTAATTTTTTCTATATATTTTTAGTTGTCCGATTAATTTCTTTCTATTTTTTTAGTAGAGACGGGGTCTCGCTCTTGCTCAGGCTGGTCTCTGAACTCCTGAGCTCAAACAATCTGCCCGCCTCGGCCTCCCAGAGTGCTGGGATTACAGGCGTGAGCCACCGTGCCCGGCCTAATACTTGAGTTTTGATTCCTTTCAGGTTTTGCAAATGTTGTTCTTCTCTTTATCCCCAGGTTCTGAAAGTCGTCTTCTTTCACTACGCCAGGAATTGCTGCCCTTTTGTTCTGAAGACCCATGTTTTTTCCACACCCCCTTCCAGACTTGAGTTCACTATAATGGAACAGCCTGATGCTACCTGCCCCCGCTGTACTACTGCTGCCTGAAGGTTAACCTAAATCTCCTGACCCACTTCCTGTTTAGAGGAAAATGGAATAGAGGGAAAAGTTTTAAAAACACCTCAAGAAAACAATCAGGCTAATAGAGGATAATATCAAAGAGAAGTTCTCTGGTTTCTTCCAAAAACTCAATATCAGGGAACAAAAAAAGGGTTGGTATGTGAACTATCTCTAGATTAAAAGAGACTAGTGACATGACAACTTGATGGGACTGCAGATTAGACCCTGTTGAGAAAAACGAGATATACATGGGGCATTTGGAAAAACGTGAATGTGGACTATAAACCAGATGATGTGAAGAGGGTGGTTAGTTCTCCTAGGTATGGTTAACAGTTTTGTGCTTTATCCTTAGGACATGCATGCTAAAGTATTTGGGGATAAAACATCATGTCTGAAACCAACCTGTAAATGTTTCAGCCAAAACAAACACATATATACACACATACAGACAAAGCAAACATGACAAAAGCTAGCTACTGCTGAATACAGGAGATGGTTATATGGATGTTTATTTTACTATTTTTTCAACTTTTCTGTGTGTTTGAAAAAAATTAAAAGGATGAGGAGGAGAGAAATCTGTGTGGATGGGTGCTGTCTGCAAACCGTCCTTCCCATGGAGCTGCTTGGCCCCTTGCAGCAGGGAGGGACTGGGTCCCATAGATAAGGGCCCACGAGTTGGGAGGAAGCTGCAATTCCTCCGATGGCCTGTCCTAGACACCACACAACAGGAGCAGTTTCCCTGTACTCTCCTAAAACAGCGTCTCTCAGTCTAACTCACACACAAAGTGAGAAAGTGATTGCCTCTCCCGGGAGGAGTGACAGCATTGCTGTAAGAGGAGCGTGGGGGACGGGCTGTGCTGGGGCGGTCAGCTGCAGCACAGACACTGCCACACCCGCACCATGTGCTGTCTCCAGCCCAACATTATTACAGTGTGTTTTATCATCTATGTCTTTGTGTTTCTTCCTTGCTCTATGTATATGTGCCTTAAAAACAAAAACAATGTTTGGTTTGGGGGTATTGGAACATTAGCCTAGTGCTCAGCACATTAGGAGTATGGCAGATTACTGCCTACCCCCCAAAGGTGATTCTCTTACTTTTTGTAAGTGGTCAAATCCCTGAATTTTAGTTGAGTACGCAGTTGCCGAGAATGAAAATGACATTTGCAGCCTTGCCCACAGGGGCATGGCGAACAGGACATCAGCAGAGACAAGGCCATGCACCTCCTGCACTGAGCCCTGAGGGGAAGGGATGGGTTCTCCACCATCCTTTCCTCCCTCTTGCTGGCTGGAAGGAGCTGAAGCAGCCACCCTGGACAAGACAGACGCTGCGTGAACAAAAAGGGTCAAAGGAGACTGGGTTCCTGCTAACTGCGGGGCTGCCCAAGGCTCATACAAAGAGAGAGATAATCTTCCTTGTCTAAGCCACTAGCAGAGACCCTGCTGTATATATACTAAATACAGGTTTAGCATCCCTAATCCAAAAATCCAAAATCCAAATCCAAAATGTTCCCAAATCCAAAACTCTTTGACTGCCAACATGTCACCACAAGTGGAAAATTCCACACCCGACACCTTTGCTTTCTGACAGTTTAATATAAACAAATGTTATTTCAAGCACAAAATTATTAAAAATTTGTATAAAATTACCTTCAGCCTATGTGTATGAGGTATATATGAAACGTAGATGAATTTCCTGTTGAGATTTGGGTCCCCTCCCCAAGATATCTCATTATGTATATGCAAATATTCCAAAATCCAAATCATTTCTGGTCCCAAGCATTTCAGATATGGGATAATCAAACTGTAGTATCAGTGACGTTCACTAAATACCTCTCAAATAGTCACAACTCCATTAAATTTTAGAAACTTGAACATACTGGCAATATCCATTTCTTAGCTTCTTTTGGAATTACTGTTCATAATTTATACATACATTATATATTCCATTTTTACACATAAAATATTTCACAATTTGAAAATGGGGGAAAAATTAATTCCAACAGATTGAGATACGCTCCTGCCTCCACAGACAGCCAGCTTTCCAAACGAATGAAATTGAATTTTTAAAGTCAGAGCACTTCTCTGATTCTGGATATCTCACTCACTTTTCATCAAGAAATGTAACCCCCCCCCCAAAAAAATCAACATTTTACTTTTACTTGATACTACTAAAAACTAACCTTTTTCATGCAGTCTACATAATTATTGTACTGCAGAGTCCCTGGGGGAAATTCACCAGACTTCATAGGGAGGCTGGAAACGATGAGCTCTTCGAGGACACGCCTCAGGTCCTCCAGGTGGCCCCCCAAGGGACTGGTGAAGAACGGGAGGAGGAGGACAGCCTGGCCCTGTGGAGCGAGGTGGGCAAATGAAACTACCTGTCGTGGCTTACAGATCCTACAGAATAAATAAAAGTACTGCTTTCTAAAGCCTTTAGAATAACTTGTATGTTATATTAAAAACCAACCTGAACACAATTCTGTACCTCAGCTTGCACTCTCAAGGTCAATCGGCTGACTCGGGGCTACACACGTGTAAATAAACAGGACACTGTGCTTGGATTCTGTATGTGCTTTCTCTTTCTACAAATAAAGACTCTAGTAGAAATGTACTGGACAGGCTTTGTGCAGGAAAAACATCATAAATAACCTATGGGGTAATTTACAGCCAACCATTGCAGAACTACTTGAGAACTTGGCACTCAGCTTAACAGGACTTAGGAATTAATTCCTATTTCCCTTGACTAACAAGTAAATTCCAAGAGACTCCATCACATCTGAAATGGGAAACTTGTTAACCACATATAGCAGAAAATTCCAAAACATTATGCTCTTTAACCAGTAAAAAGATCTTTTCATTGTGGCCACACTTCAAAAGAGCTTAAAATCAAATTATTACAGGACTTTAAAATTAGTGACCTTGAAATTACAACACTTATTAAATTCTTGACATTAAAAATCACCAACAGGTTTTATATTATTCTTAATAGAAAAAGGGTTGAGTAATAAAGTTAATACAGCAATTCCAAACCATGATAATCTCATGGCTATACTGTATAAGAAACGTTCTCATCTCTTGGGGAGACACCCGAAGCATGTGCAGATTGGATCACATGAAGCCTGGTTTCCCTCTGGCTGCCAGGCGGCTCGACTGTACAACTGAAATAGACACGCCACACTCCCATGGTTGTCAAGACCCAGTGATAAGGAGGGGGTTCACTGTACTAAGCTCTCTATTTTTGTACACGTTTGAAATTTGTCATAATAAAAAATAAAAAACACCACAAATATGAAAAAATATAAAAATGGGAAAATAAAAGAGAATGTAAACTGAAAAAGAAGTCTTTTTTTTTAACCACTTACCTTTAAATGTAGACCCAACTTTATATCAGCCAGCAGACTAGTATATGTTGTAAAGACTTCAGGGAATGAGCTGTGATTTGTACTAAAAGATACGGATGAATCAATCTACAGGAGGGAAAACAAGAACACGACACATTTCTATATTATGCCTCTATCTCCTGTAACAAATGTTTACGTTTCAGAAATGAACTATAAATTTGTCCTCGGGCTTCAACAATATTTCAACAATCTTGTTCTGGAATGTTTTAATACTATCTGTTAAGACAATGCATGTAAAGATAAAGTATTAGAAATGATAAGCATAATAAATAATGATACAAAATAATGGGAAAAGTAACAAATACAAGGTAATCAGCAATTATCCCATCAAAATATTTTTTATTTATCAAACTAATGAACTCTTGAAGCAACTTACAAAAAAATTTTAAAGATACAAGTTATAGAGCTCAAAACAACAAACATTGCTATATTTTTTTTTGGTTTCTCAAAGTACCTGTAAAATCTTTGCCAGTAAGGCCAGCACTGCCATTTTACTTTCAGGAGCAGAATCTGTGGCCCACCACAGATCCAACTTCCTCCAGTTTCGCAGAATTGTAGTCACAAGTTTCAGTCCTTGGTGTCTCTGACTTGCTCGATCCCTGAAGCTCTGATCTAACATACCATTCAAAATGGCACTCACCTGAAACAATATTGTCATGTTTGAAGAAAAAAGTCTTAATATTGAGAATGGCAGATATACAGCAAAATTTACTTTCATTTCACAGCTATTCTTGGAAAATAAAGATGCTACTTCTATAACAGAGGTTTGCCTACTCAAAACTCCTCAAATTTGATCTGACTCATCTGTGTCATCAAGCTCATCCTGCTGTCCTGGCTTTCTTATTCTGGGGCATTCTCAACGGAACTCCACTTGGAAGAGGAATTAGCTCTTTTCTGTCACAGCACGACCACTGTACAATCACGTGTGCACACACATGCACACAGCACACACATAAATACACATGTCCTTTCCCACCACCATTCTTTGAACAGAGTGCTAGCCTAATCTTGGTTAGATTAGATTCAGTATTCCTGTCACTCTGACAATGTAAACATTTTTCACAGACACTTCAAGTGACATACTACCAATATTTTTCCCCTTTTTTGAACATTTTATTCTCCCTGAAGGTAATCCTTGTTTGCTTTTTTTGCTGTTTTCAGTGTGCCTATCATTAATTCGTCATCAAACTCTCCCAAGTTAATTATTAATAAATCGCCTCAAGTCCTCTATACCCACCCGGAAGTCTACCCCCTCCCTCTCTGTGGAGACTTGGTCCACACCCGTGTCAGGGCCACTTCCTGCACCCAGCCTCTCCATTCTCCTGGCTCACTCCCGGAGAGCCTTAGGACTCTCCACCAGTGGCCTCGCCACAGACGTGTTGGAGACACACTCCTTCGGGATCTGCCACATCTGAAGCACCCGCATTCTACTCTCACACGTGACTGATGGATCCAGCGGGATTCAGAACTCCAGGCTGGAGATTTCTGTCATGAACTGTGGTGTCCACACTGCTGTTGAGAAGACAAAAGTCACTCAATTTCTTGATCCTTTTATATATAACTGGTTTTCCTTTTGTAGGAACTTCTCGGGATCTTTTCTTGTGGTGAAACCCCAGGGTTCTGAATTCTCAAGAAATGTGCTCCATCTGGAGCCGTTTCCACGCACTGTGCTGGACATGCCACAGCCCTTTTCTACCTGGAAACTCAAGGCCTTCACTCCTGGGGGTCCCCTTGGGCTGCCAGCAGTGAAGTCTCTCCTGGCCCTGCCCTCTGGCACCCAGGCCTGCTGCTCGGCCTCAAGCTCCGACCCCAAGGCTCCTCCACGTTTCTCTATTTTCTGTATTTTTCACTTTATTCTCTCTGAGAGTTCATTGATCTTATCTTCCAAACCCATTTCATTTTTAATCTCTGATGCTTATGCTTAATTCCAAAGAGCTCTTTTTTGTTCTCTGATGTCCTTTTTCAGTAGCAATTCTTATTTCGTGGATACAGTATCTTCCTGCAACTGTGAGGTTTTCTTCTTCTTATATTTCCATTTCACTGAACAGTCTCTGCCCCAAGGTCTTTTTTTCCTGCTGTCCCTTTTGGAATCCCTTTCCTCAGGTGCCCGGGCTCCTTGGCTGCTGGCTCCCATGTCAGAACAGACTGGAAGTGCTGTGCAGCGTGCAGGATGTGCTGGTGGTGAGGCCTGTTATGAGCCGAGCTGGTTGGTGGTGATGTCTCTATCTTTGTTTCCCGTTAGGGCTTGTCAGGATGTTCTGATATCCAGCCAAGGGGACACACCAAGCTGACAGTATTCCAGAAGCCAAATCAGGGAAAAGGGCCAAGAGCCTCTAAGTCTAGAATTAGGTAGGCTCCCACTTAATTTCCCTGTTTTCATGAAGCTATCCTTACGCTGAGCCATGCCAGAGTTGCCCCATACAGAAATATTTACCCTCTCCAGAGAATCAGCGCCCATCTTCTCCTAAAGTGGGAGGGCAAGGCCCCCAACGGCAGGGAGAGGTGGGTGCTGCAGGGGAGGGCTGGCTTTCACCCAAACCTCCCTATCAGCCTCCCTCTCACACTTGCTCCCCACAGCTGGCCCTGCTGGGGCTCGGCACATATGGGTGCCCCGTGTCCCTGCTGCCCTGTGGCGGTGCAGCTGTCTTGGACTCTGAAGTCTATCGTACTTGCCCTTTTTTATTTACAGCTATTGTCACTCCTAGAAGTCATTCCTCTTTTTCTCTGTGTCCTTTAAGATTGTGTTGTTGCCTTTTTTTAACCCCATTCTGTCATTTTAGAGGGATCTGGAGGAGTAGAGGTAAAGGTGTATGTTTTTATTTATCGTGTTCTCCAGAAGTCTGAATAGTTTACAAGCTCAGAATGCTAAATCTTCTGACTATCATGGGTATACTACAATTTTATTTCTAACTTTAAAAAAATATAAATTCCTAGTATAATCTACCATAAAATATTCTCCTATAATAGACAAGCACTTTTGGAATAAAAGTTCAACTTACTAGGAAATTATACACTCTCCCTTAAAATGGTCATACCAACAGTTAACCGTTTCTGTCCCTATAGAGCAGGTTAGATTTCAAAATCCCGAAGTTTAGCAAACCAAAGTCAAATATGTGTTAAATACTGATCTCCAGATTCAGTGTGAGGGGACAGAGGGGGTCACAGCAGGAATATGCAGGAAATGATGGCTCAGCCTTGAGACCACAAGTGAGCTCTGACTACAGGAAGGTCACTGGAGTGTGGGTGCCAGCTGTGGCCAGCAGGAGAGCAAAGCCAGCTCTGGGCCTCAGGATGCCTTGTAGGCACCAATGCCACATCCTGGCAAAAGTCAACACCCTACTTAGTTGTGCCTTGTAATATTAGGCCTAGAGATTTGGGGGAGGGGCAGGAGGCATAAGGGAATGGAAAAAAGAATCACTGTTTCAAATCCATTAACATTCATTAAGTATTGATTGGTAATGGCTGTTTTTTGGTTTCTTTGATTTTGTTTTTAAATATTAGCAAGAGCTTTTAACCCTCTAAGAAGAAATCATGTTTTGTTTTAATGAAATTATTTCAGGAATACCATAACCCTTCGTAAGCATTATATGAGAAAATATTTACTTAAGGAAAATTTCATTACCATTTTCGGATTATCCACTGATGATTTCACGAGCTCTAATACAGCAAGATCTAGATTTTTCAGCAGTTCAGTGTTGATTGTTTCAGAGAACAAGCTATAGAAATATTCCCCATGGGAGAAGCTGACGATGCCTCTCTGCGAGCTGCCTGAGGACGGCGTGGACAACACAGCTGAGTTCAGAAGAAGACTCACAAGGTGCTCACACTGCAAGGAAGAAAGGAGAAGCACCCTAACTGGGGCACATCTTCACGTGTTACAGAAAGACCCTTGGGTAGCAGACTACTTTGAAATCGAAAATCACAGTAAGGTCTAAAGAGAGCCTGATATGTGAAGCCTGGGTTCAGGTTTGAACCAGCCTTGATTTTCTAGGTTTTGCTTCGGGAAAGAAATCTTCCCTGATCCATGTTTCTTCCAAATGTCCAGAAAATCTTATTGTTGCTGCTTTGAGGGTAAAGTCTAGGAAGAGCGAATATTTTTAGACAATTTAAACATGTAATCATCTACATTAAGTGGATAAAGGGGCAAAGAAGAGGTTTCTGCTCCAAGAGAAAAGAAGATGGAATGGAGTGAACACACAGGCCGGCTGCAGATCTCAGCAACAGCAGGGACTATTTTGAGGCCAGCCTGCATAGTTCAAAGCCCACAAAGACATTTTTTTGGCGGTTCCTCTGGGATTGTCCTTCAGAGACCCTCCCAAATCATCCACCCAAAGGACCACCACGGATGGGAGAAGAGGCCACATGTCAACTTTACAGTCACAAAGTGTTCTCTGCCTAAGTACTTTTGGAAACAGGGTGGGATAGATGAAACCACAATTTCAAAAGAATGTTGTTCTATTTCTTTTATTAAAAAAAAAATTGCTGAGAAAATAGTCTTTTAGAAAAAAAGTCAGCTCATGTAAACCAACTACAATAGTTGTCCAGCTAAGACCTTACCCAACTAAATTCCACTGTTTCTAGAGACACACTGCAAGTGAGTTATATATTTCCACCATTAGGAGAGCATAGTGTGCAGCTGTTTTACTTACCAGTACTCCAAAAGCAAAGGCCAGCTCCAGAAGTTCACGGGCCAGTCGCTTACAACTGGGGTCTAGCAAAGGCAGACACTGTCTCTCATCTCCAGGGGCAATGCCTTTATAAACCAGGGAAAGAAGTTCTGTGCCAACAGAATGATGCAGATCTGTAGGCTAAAATAAGGTCAACACTGAAATGCCTAGCAAAAAGATAATTTATAGAAAAAAAACAATTTCACTCCTCTTATTAATTAAAAAATCTACTTTAGCTACACTGACAACTGCCTTCCAATTTTCAGGAAAATTTTAGCTCAACTTTGTTTACTACACTACATTTTTCATTTGTGTTGTCTCACCACAAAGACACAATAGCAGTTCCTAAAGTTTTTCAGAAGGCTGCTCTAGAAATATTCAAATGTCCTTTATTTTACTTGCATTTTTTATTTACACTTTTTTATATTTACTTTCATGTTTATATCCCAGATACTACCTACACATCTAAAGCAAGTATTTCTATAATTCCCATTTAAGCATGCTCTATACCTAAAGAATATCCAACAAAGAATATAAATAAGTAATTATCATACTAAAGCAAAAAGAAATGCAAAAACAAACTGGTTGGGGTTACCTGAGATGGTAATACAATATGCAGCAGACCAGCACTGTGAAGCTGTTTACAGGCGGACACAACAGAAGCCAGCCTGGTCCTGTCCAGGTGCGTGTCAGGGCCGTACAAGTCAACGGCACAAAGCTTCTCAATGCTGGACATGCAAGAAAAACAGAAAAACAGAAACAAAACTAAGTGGGTTCTGATCTCATTAAGTTATCAGGCTACACTGAAAACATACGTGCAATGTTATAAACTTACCAATTACCTGGCACTCAAATTCATTAACATGGTCTTGGAAAGCAAACAGGCAACACGAAACAAGGTCCACACACACTCATCTAGCATGGAAATCTAACGTGGTGCTAACCATGTCTGAAGCTTGCTTACACTTGGTGCGGGGAAGGCACTTGCTAAATACATGATTTCCAAACAACTGCTGAGGTCACTGGCACCAAACACCCACTACTGAGACCCTTTCCTGAGGAAATGGGAGCGACACCAGCCACGGAGGGGGCTGCAGGAGCACTGCAGAGCACTGGGACCACAAATTCCACGATAATGCAGAGCCTCGCACCACCCGAGTGCCCACCTCTGCGCCGTTACTGTTTCCCTCAAGTGGGCCTCCAGAATGTCCCTGTGTGGGGGCTTCTTTAGTGCTTTCATCAGGTTCACACAAACACTGGGGAGATGATCCATAACCTGGACATCACCAACATTGAAACCTACGCTCACAGGCTCATACAGCGTCTTCACCAAGAGTTTCATAAGGTCTGTGTTACACAAATCCCTTTCCAGCAGCTGTAAGAGATGGTTTGAATAAAAACACTGTCAGCCAGCATTTATTAATATATCTTCACCAGAGTACAGAGTTCACGAGGTTGGGAATTTTGCCCACCTAGGGCAGGGGTTGGCAGAGTTTCTCTGCAGAGGGCTGGACAGTCAACACTTTAGGTTCATGGGCTGCAACTCCTTACCCACCGCAGCATGAAAGAGCATAGACAGCAGGTGGACAGAGGCACATGGCTGTGTTCCTATAAAATTTTACCTACGAGAGCAGGCGGCAGGTGGGGTTCTGCCTGCGGACACAGCTTCCCAGCCCCCAGCTTAGGGCACTGATGTATCCCCAGGGCACAAAATGGGGCCTGGTGTGCAGCAGACACTTAGTACATGTTCCCTGGATGGACTAAATCGAGTTTACTTACAGAACAGGCCTCACAAATATATCTGCAAATATGTGCCAATGTATATTTCCCAAGGTAGATGCTTGATCATAGCATAAAATGCAGCTGGGCATGGAGGCTGAGGCAGGGTGATCACTTGAGGCCTGGAGATTGAGAACAGCCTGGGCAACATAGCGAGACCCTGTGTCTATCAAAAAATAAAAAAATGAGCTAGGTGTGGTGGCACACACCCGTGGGCCTAGCTATTCAGGAGGCCAAGGCAGAAAGATTGCTTGAGCCCAGGAATTCAAGGTTAGAGAATGAGACCTGTCTCTAAAAAAACCAAAATAATTTTGAAAAAGAAAAAAAAATGCAACAAATAAAAAAACACGAAAAAAAATTTGCATTTTATTCACACAATGAAAATCTAAAGGACACGCAAATTTTAATATTTTTAAAAACAGATGTACAACATGGTGACTTTAGTTAATAATAATGTATTGCATACACTTGAAAATTGCCAAGAGATTTTAAATGTTCTCATCACAAAAAAATGTTACATATGAGAGGTAATAGATGTGTTAATTAGCTTGATTTAGCCATTCCACAATGTATACATATATCAAAACATCATGCTGTATACTGTAAACATAGTTTTTATTTGTCAGTTAACATAAATAAATAAGAACAGATAACTCTTAGCCAAAAGCCAAAAACCACTTCTAACAGGAGCTTTTAAAGCATTTTTCCAGTACCAAGTACTGACCTCAAAGTAGCAGAGCAGCAGGAGAGACCCTACCTTCCATCCTTCCAGGGAGGTGCTGAGCAGGGTTGTGGTAAATTCCATAATCCGGACGGCAACGGTGCATTTGCTGTAGTTGTACCTTTCTCTCTCCTGTGGGCTGGGGCTGTGACCTGCTGCCCCCGTGCCAAAGCACCTTTCTGCTGCCGTAATGTCGTGCAGAGCAATGCTTTCTAAAAAGAAAGCCACCGCCTTCAAAAGTGAAGACTGTGTTCCAGTACCTGGAATAATTATATTAAAATATTAATATATGCTTCCTCCCAACTCTAAGAGTAACATAAAATTGCTTCTTTAAGTACAGGTATGATATACTTTTAGTCAAAATTCAAGATTTTTCAAAAGAAAAAAAAAACTCAATAGAAGTTGAATAAAATGACAGTTATTTCTTCTCATTTCAAGATTAATACAACCCAAATAGAATTCAACTTTAGACTCATACAATAAGAACACATCTATGGAAAATCAAGTCTTAAAACACTATTTTTAGGAATATAAATTACCACAATCATTTTAAAGGGCAACCTGGCAATTCATACCAAAAGCTTTAAAAAAAAATATGCATGCCAATTCTATCAAATGTTTAAAAAACCCAAATGCTTTGATCCGGCACTGAAATTCTAACCTAATGAAATAACAGTACCATTTCAAAGATGTGTGAGAACGTTCGCTTTAGCATTCCTTTTAATAATGAAAAAACAGAAACAACCTAAATGTCCTTCAAAGGGGCAACACAGAGACAAATTATGGCAGTAGTCTTCAAGTGGGTGTGGATGGCCACTGATCATCTTATGGAATCGAGTTTCAGATCAAATCCCAAACAGGCTTTTTCATAAAACTCATCTGTCTGAAAACACTCGGGCTTGTTCTCCTTTTCCATCTCCGCCCCGTTCACCACTACCTTCTCCTGCTTAACAACAGACAGAAAGTGCTCACCTCTCCCCAATCTTACTACAGTTCACAACCCCAGGGTAAAGAGACCTTCAGAGCCCCAGACAAATGGGACAATTTAAAATATTGGTATATGTGACAAAAGAGTGAATAAAAGTAATGACTGAGTAAGACATCATTTTGCATAATGATTCCAATTAAGTACAAAAAGAGAATAAAGCATATAAGAATTTTCACCTGCATATAAGAATTTTTTCTGTATAGAAAAAATTTAGAAGAGTAAACAGTAAACTGTTACTAGTTTTTTATCACTGGGGAATGAGATTAGTTTTACTTCTTACAGTTTTCCCTTGTTTAAATTTTCAAAATGAGGACATGAGATCCCTTAAAACAACAAAATTAAGGTACAATTTAAAGTTGTACAGCTAACATTGGTAAAAGTTTCACAGCTGTCTTGACCTATTCTTCTGAGCAGTATCTCATGCTGATGACTCAACTCTTCTCAGAATTGTGTAAAATCTGTGTTTCTGAACGTCAGCACACCTGTGCACCTGCGCATACACATGCATACACAAACACGCACCATACCACTAGACCACTTCTACCACCTTCAAGGTAAAAATAAGAATGCCTGGTTCCTCTCTCCCAAATTCCCATAACAGGGACTTTATCTCTGACAGAAGTAAAGAGAGAATGACAGTTCCTTTACTAAGCACTAGTAGATACCCCAAGCTAAAAATCATTTAAATAACAGAACACATTCCAACTGGCAAGTCCAGGGTTCAGTCCAAGGGGAAAAGGACTTAGAAGCCTGGCCAGAGAATTGGAAGCACAGAACACACCTGCCGGCTGACGTGCGCTCCAGGTGCTCCACACCGAGCGCTGCCTCTTCCCTCCACAGGTCCGCCAACACCACTAGAAAGCTAGGGCTGCCCACTTCCTTCTTCCCCGCTCGGGCCAAGGAGAACGCAGAGCATCCCACCTTGCATTCTATCCTCTGCCAACACCACCATTACTACCACACTGTGATAACAAAAGCTCGAGGAATATGAACATGGAAGAAAAATAAAGGCACTCTACATAGAAACTTAGAATGAGATCCCGGAGCTTCCTGTTAGGAAGAGCTCTTTTAAAGTGCTACACGCAAATGAAAACTGCCAAAGTTTATTTCATAAAAAGATCAAGAGCCTGTGAATAGGACAGAAAGCAAGCGGAGGCTCTGTCCAGGCCCGCATAGCCTCAGCTCTGTCACCTGCATCACCCCCTCACTGGGAGACTACATGAGAAGACGGGCGAGGCTCCTGGCACAGCTCCTGCATCATCGCTGTGATTCTGACCCGCGGAGAGCTGTCTGCCCAGGCGACTTTCGGCAGAACCTGACCATACTAACTTGGGGCAAGGGTGACCCACCCAGGACCTCGATCGCCTCCACAGTCCTCTCCTGGATGAACGTGTTGTAGCACTCCAGGGCGGCCAGCAGCAGGTCCAGCCAGTGCAGCGCTGCTCGCAGGCTGAACGGCCCCGGCAGGTGGGAGAGGGTGGGCTGGGCCTGGATGCCCCCAGGCCGGCCATAGCTGCCGCCCCCCTCAAACATGTTTATGAGGAAAGACACATCTTCTTCCTTGGTAATGTCTTTCAGCCATAAAGAAGGTGATTTGTTGCCTAAAAAAAAAACAGGATTAAAACACATGTATAAATAACTTCTGTATAATTAAATTTCTTTAATCTTTGGGACAAATTAAAATTTCAAAATGATATGGGATAATTTTTTATTTTACTATAGCACTCATAACTTGTGTCACTGTAATTTCTGTATTTCCACCAAAGCTGGTCTCTTCAGTGTCTTTAAACATTCTAAAAATAGTTGAACACCACTGGAATAGCTATAAACTCACACCCTTTCCCCTGTCTTTTTTCTTAAAAATTATTTTTCCTTTTTTTAAGTCACAAAAGAGCCCCGTGACCTTGGGCTCTGATGCTGGCTGTGCTGCTCCCAGCTGTGAGGACGTGGCCTCTCTGCGCCTCCTTCTCCTCATTCATGATGGAAAACAATAATAACATCTACCTCTTGGTTATGACAGAGATTCAAATGATAAGCTTTCAAAAGATATTTTCTTTTAGATATTAAACTTTTACTAAATCAAAGAAAGAAATACACAAAATACATAGGCCTCCGCCTACGATCCACCAGGTGTTTCTGGGCCTGGGCCACCCTGGCCTTCTGCGGAGCACGTCCGCACTCACCCGGAGTCTCAGCGTTCAGCAGCCACTGGAGCCAGCCCTCTCGGACAGCCTGACCCAGGGCAGGGCCCAGCCTGTGCCTGTCATCATGTCCTACTGATCTGGGTGCTCACACACCCAGCACCCCCACTGCAATGACCCAGAGACACCTGACACTGTCCCTTAAGAACCACTGGGGGGAAAAGAGGCTGAATAAAGAAAGGCCACAGCGGGTAAGTCAAGGAGGCTCACTCAATTTTTACAAATTATATGTTGGGAGAAGGGCAAGGCTCACCAACTACCCCGCACCCTTTGTCTAACCAAAACAACTGTGAGACAAAGAGCTCTATCTATTTAATTCAGAATATACAAGGTCCCTATCATAGGCAACAGAGAGGAGGAGAGCAACAGAGATTTAGGGATCAGTAAAGCTGACGTCCCTAGAAACTGTGTGGGCCACAGGAGACAATAACTAGTTCTACCTACGTAGTATCAGGCAGGGCCCCAGTTTCCTCTAAAAATAAGGAAAATACGACACCTCCTATCCCCAGCCCTACTCCAGCCACCAGTCCACTCTTCGCTGACTGACTTTACAGGATTATTGTGAGAATGACTTAATACAAACAAACTTTAACTAAGAGCAGTAAGCACATTTAAAATACTAATGATGTTTTTAAAACAACTACCTAAATTAAAAACACAGATATACATTTCCATTATACATGTAAAATAATGTAGTAAATTTATCTATATATTTATATAACATATATAAAATATAGCATGAATTCAATTATAATATATTTACATGTACTATATAGTATATAAAATATAGTATATAACAATATGACATATTCTATAGTACAACATTTAGAATCCTTCTAAATTATAGAAGCCCAGAAATACACAAAGTAATTTTTTTCCTCTTGTTCCATGAGAAAAAGCCCAGACAGTACATCTCCACACCATCTCCTGCAAGCCTCTCACCCTGCACACGCCGCACCGCCCTCCCCCAACGGCGCTCCCCATGCAGAGCATGGCACAGTGCTCTGTGCACGACACGGAGAGCTGGGGCCTGTTCCATCCTGGGGCACAGCTGCCCCACTTCAAAGCTACCAAACCCAGGTTTGCACTTAACGGAGAATACCAAACAATACATTTATTCCTGAGAAATTCAGTAATTATTTCAATCTATAGGTACAGTTCAATGGTTTAGTGAGTTACTACTGAAAAGCATAGGTTCATTGCTTCTTTAATATCACAATGATGGGAGATCATTCAGATTTAAGGTTCTGGCAATTTCTTATTAATTACATGTTGAAACAGAATTGTATTATTTCATTAATTGCTAATATTCTGAATCTTAATTAAATATCATGTTTACTACAATGGTCACCCAACTCTTTACTTCCTTTAAGTGGGATAGAAAAGCAAAACTGTAGCAAAATAAAAGATAATGGGAAATTTGAAATTTACTTCTTATCATTTGACTAATATCAAAATTGCATTTTTCTTTCCTTCTAAAAATCTTTGAGAAATGAATACTCACAATTTATCATCTATCGCACAAATCTGAAATGATTATTGAACATACTTCTTCTATGTATTAGAAACATATTATTCATAACATTCATTTAAATAAATGGAATGATCACATTTTAAATAAGTCCGCATCTCTAAGCTACTGGCAAAAGCAAAACCAGTCATTTTACAGGACATAAGGATCACCATACCTGGCAATAATGGAACAAATTTATAAAAGAGTTCCATAGATTTGTGTCGACATTCTGTCTGGGGCCTCCCACAACGGGCTAAGAGCCACTTGACCAGATCCAGTAAGCACAAGGAAGCTGAAGGAGGGAATCCTCTGCACAGAGACAACACACTGTCAGGAACACACTCTTTAGCATTCAGCATTTAGCTAGCCAAGGGCCTAGAAACCATAAACTCAATTTTACCACACAGATACATATGCAAAACTCACTAACAGGCATTCAGCTTATGTTTAATGTACTGTCATTAGCATACAATCAAAACATTATCAGGTTAAACGGGTCCCAAGTGCTGCTAAACTTCATTTTTAATATTTTTAATCTGGGAAAAAATTTAAAAGCATTTTTTAAAAGGCTTGCATTAAGTATTTTCATGCTTCCTTTTCAACATATCATAAAACGAAAGGTTCAAGATACAAAGTAGAACTTCTCAAAGAAGCTGGTGACCAACTTCACCAGCACCATCTGTGCACTTGTAAACGCAAATTCTCTGGCCCTGCCCCAGACTACTGACACAGAAATTCTGAGGGAGGGGCTCACCTGGCAATCTGTGTTTTAACTAGACCTCCAAGTAATTCTAATGCATGCAAAAGTTTGAGAACCAATGATCTAAAGAGATGTCCTAAGTTAATAGTAGAATCTGGAAGAATCAATTTTAAAACAGAGAAAATACTAATATCCAGTCTACGTAAGACCATGCTTCTCCAGACTGGTGGCTGCCAGCACAGACACCAGAGCTCCCCAGACAGCCTGCAGAGATCCAGAGAAGCTAACGCGTGGCACCCCCACACTGCGAATGAGACACTGTGGAGATGAAAACGAGGGCAAAGAGTAAAAACCACTAACCAACACCCTAGCATTGAGTAGTTTCGTTTCATAATCCTATAATTCCTTATCTTTCAAAATCCTACGATCTCCACATTCAGTACGTATACTTCAAAATTTACGACATAACAGTTCATGTATATTCTGGTTCAATCATCCACATGTGTATTCAAAATTATTGCAGATAAAATAAAACATCTCAGTTATAAAGCTAATTTTCTATTTCTATCTACTATCCCAACCTAGATCAAACACCTTATATCTTATATCTTTAACCAAGTATTTTCAAACATAGAGCTGTTTACCTTCTTTGGAAAACTGACTCTTCATACTTCCACACATTCTTTGTTTAGAAATGAATTCTTTATACTTTCACACATCCATCTCAGCTGGTCCTTTATTAGCTGAGAATTAGTTTTACATTGGGCAAAAAAATAGAAAAAGAAGCAAGATCACGTACCGTGGCAAACGTCGCTTTTTTGCTTTGTTTAAAGAAACGTGCTTCTTTTCAATGATGCGGCTTAGGTGATCAATGGCATCACAGCACTGTTGAACTGTACCTGTTCTCAAGCACAAAGATATATTTCCAGAGAAATTATATGCCTGGTTATTATTAATAAATTGGTATTATAAATCTGTTGGCCTAATTATTTAATGGAAAAGTTAATATTACTATAGATTTAATATCATTTCATCCCTCAGAATACAAAACTTAAATAAATGATTTACATTGCATGCCCAAAAACGAACACAAAACTCATACTTAAAACGGCAGGACAGTATGGTACATGCATGCACATACAAAGCAATGCCACACCTAATCAGAAACCGCACTGGCAGCAGCCCGAAGCACAGCCTCAGACAATGGATTTGAGATGGAAGACACCTTGCAGGTGTCACCAAACCTACACACCAGGCCAGAGCCTGTGCACCTCAAAATAAGGCTGTTATTTAAGGGGTAAAAGTTCCTTGACCTTCTTTCATCTTACGTAGGATAAACTATAATATAGTTTAATAATATAGCCACTATAGAAGGAGAACTTAAGTAAGATGATAAAACCACCCACAGATGTCTAGAATTATTCAGGAGAAGAGCCTCATACAACTTATTTTGTTCTCTGTCACCAAGAAAAAGGTTTTTTTGCATGCTTTTTAAATACAGCAGTGATTTTGTTGAGAAAATTCACCTATGTGGGAAATAAACAAATAAATAAAGCAAACTTAAGCTATTTGATGGCAGGACTAAATGTTAAGCATTTTTGTCCATAGTAGACTACCAATGAAGAATAATAGAGCTCAGCCTGTCTTTAAAAAAAAAAAAAAAAAAAAAAACAGAAACGAAGATCTGGATCAGTGAAAGAAAAGTCCTGCCACCCACAAGTGTGTGACCCTCTCTGTCACCGACACGCACTGGGTCTCCGTGCCCAACAGGGAGATCTCTAAGAATTCTTCTAGCTAAAAAGCTCTATGAAGTTCCTAACAGCTTCTGGACAGAATTTAATCATAAAGACTATCATTTATTACTCTCTTAGATAATTTAGCCCACTTCTGACTCAATTTGGCCCAAATAGCTTTGTCACAATCTTGTAATGAGACCTACTTCCACCTTTCTATGTTGTAACTAGTGAGTTCAAAGACACTGATGACATCTCAGTGGTTACTACACCCAGCTTCTTTAGCACAGCGAATCTGTACATTCTCACGCTGTGTATCACCAGAGTAACTGACTGGCTATGCTGTCCCCCTGCCCTGGGTAGGATCTCTGACCAACCAGGGGTGGAGCTCTACGGCAACCAGGGAATATCGTGACTCGCAGAGGACGAGGGCATGAAAGAACCGTTCACAAAGCAGACGTGAGGCACTGGAGGGCATATGTTCTCTTCACATCTATCAAATTTATTTATGGGAGACAGGGAAAACAATCCAACACCTTGTGAGAGTATCACCTGAGCCTCGACTCCTGAGTAGGAAGACTCCACGGACCTGTAAGGCAGATGGGATGCCAGGAGGAGACGTACCTAATGACTTCTCGTCCATATGTGCCAAGGCCAGACTTTCCAGATAGATCACCAAGGCTTCAAACACAAACTGTTCCACCAGAGACTCTTCTTCCCTGTAAAATAAAGAGTGTGCAGACTCACCTAAGAAAATAATAAAGTGGAAGGGACAAAGAAGAGAATTAAAGAATGCAAACATACATTAGTTTTTTTTCAAAAGGCTCAAATGTTTTAAAACATGAAACAATGTAAAATACTTCTCAAAGAAAAATACTTCCTCAAGAGCAGACTAAAGACAGAGGTGAAATGAACTGAGAGGCAGCACTGGCTGCTTCCCCTTCATGACAGCTGCAGGACTGCCCAGGCACCCGCTCCGAGGACCACTGTTCTGACCACACTTTCACATGCTCACTAACATTCAGTGTAGGAGAAAAGAAGATCTGATATCATGTCCACGCTCTTTTAAAATAAAGCAATTTTAAAAGCTCTCAGTGTATCTAAAAGTAAGTCAACATCAAGAGTAAACTCTAAGTCTTTCACAAGCATACCTGGCACATGCAAATAATTAATTTGCTCAACAATGTCTGTGGACCATCTACTTATACAGAGTAAACTCATGGGAGGTTCCAAGCACCAACAACTGACAGCTAAGTTGCAGAGGCTAGATCTCTCACTGTAAAATGTGTTCCTTAATGACACGGGACAGTAAATGATTTAAGTACAAAATGACAGGTACAGGCAATGATTCTCACAGGAGTTCACAAAGAGTTGGAAGTTCTAGTTGAGACTTCAGACCTCAGCATGCAGAGCTACACCACCTGCTGGGAGCAAGGCATGGATGATGCGGCAGCCCTAGAACAAGGACTGCAAACTACGTTTCGGTTGGCAGGAATATTATCCTAATTTTTTAAAACTTTGAATCCCAAGAGGGGCAGAGCCCCTCAGAGTTCCACAGCCCCACGTCTCCCCAAACCCAGGTCTGAACTGAGAACAAAGGATGCTGCCAATAGATAAAACCAGTACGGAGGTAAGAAGGAAAGCACAGGAGTGTGCAGGCAAATCAGTACAGCTATAAGAAAAGGTATGCTTGGAGAAGCAATGTGTGGTGAGACTACAGACGTCAGGTGGAGTTGAACTGCAGAGGTCTTGGGAGGCTATGCTAAGTATAATAGCTTTTATGTTAGCTACCAGGAGAGCAGTCAAAGGCTATAAACAGAGAAATGACAAAAGAAAACAAGATGCTAGAACTGTGCCCTGCAAAAAAGGGTGTGCAGAAGTTCATCAGCATGCAGACGGGAAATACTATAACTTCTATTTATACGATTCAACATGTGAGATCTCAATAAATTTAACTCTTATGCACCCTTTCTAAAAAAGCCACTTGAAACGTGGTCCAACAAATGAGAGTCTCCAAGAGAGACGGCAACAGGGGAGAAGGAAACAGATGCTCAAATGCAGGAAGAAGCAAAGGGACACACAAGAGGACAGACACAGAGACTGAGGTTGGTGGGCCAAGAGACGTGCTGATGGCCATCCCCTCCAGGGCACTGCCGCATGGTTTCCTCAGGCTGGACAGAACGCACACGTGAGCCCAGCCCAACTTCTCTGCACCTGTCATCCCACAACCATGTGCTTGGAGTTCTTCTGTCCATGTTCAGCCTGGCTCAGCTGACAGAGCTCATTTACCCCACAGGAATACTTGCTCTGACCTACTGCTGACAGACGGAGGTTACACTGTTTAGGGACACATGCATAGATAATAAAACTATAAAGAAAAGAAGGAAATGAGAAATATAAAAGTCAGGAGATGAATAGCTTAAGATGGTGAGGGGAGACACAGGGTTGGGAGGTTGTTAGAATACTGGTAATATGCTATTTCTAACCTAGGCGATGAGTATGCAGGAACTTGTTTTATTATTGCTATTCTATAAATTTTACACGTTTTACACACTCCTCTGTATGTACAAGTTTCGCAATTTAAAAAAACTAAAAAAACCCACAGTGGTCAGTATGAACTCTAACATAAGTAGTCAAACTCCAGTCCATTCTCACACAAACACACACACATACATACAGATTCCCATCCACCTACCCGTTTACCTACATATCTACCTAATTTTTACAATTGATCTCCTTTTCTCTATCCCAACTGCCTCTTCCTGAGAGGAGCTATTCTGACCAAACAAGGTCAGTTTCCTCATATGAGATTACTTAGTAGTTATGTAACACTATTTAACAGCACTGATTTTAGCTACAAATTTTACATTTACCTATGTGATTAATTATTCTCTGTCTCTTTCTGAAATGTTACCCTCAGGAAGGGCTGTATCTTTCTAGCTCCAGCATTGAGCACAGTGCCTGGCACATAACATTCTTAATAAGTAGTGCAGAATGAATGAATGAATGAATGAATGAATGAACACCACTACTACCTAAGATCAGTGACTAATTTTCTTTTCCTTGGGCCTCTCAAACAGCCTCTTCACTGGTGCCCGAGCCTTTAGTCTTGCCCTGCTCAGATCCACTCTCCACGCAGCCACCAGCAGGACAATCTCAGGAGGAAATCCAGGCGTGCCACCCCCCTCCCACTACTCCAGGGACCCACCGTCACTAGAGGTGCCCCACACCCCTCACCACGGCAGACAGGGCCCTCCTCACCAGCCTCACCACACTTCCTTCCAAACGTCAAACGTCCTCCTCGCCTCAGACGCCATCCTATTCCTTATCTCTACCCACCCCCTTGAACGGAAATGCCCTGGCTGGTCTCCTTTCGCCCTTCAAGTCTCACCTCAAGTATAAGCTCTGCCAGGAGGCCTTGCCTCACCTCCTGAGACTGATCAGACACTTCTCCGCTGTGCTCCCAGAGACCCTGTAAACACATCTTCTGCCGCATGTACAAAACTGCTGTGATACGATGTTTGTTAAGTATTTCTCAGTAGTTTTAAGCTTCCTGAGTGCAAACTGAATTTTAACTCATTTTTTTAATCCCCAACACAGCATCCGGCACACAATTATTTACTAAATGCTTGATATATTATTACATCAACACATAGAATTAAACACCAAGTCACTTTTCAAAATCACTACCAGAAGTTTAAAGAGCATCCTTCATTCTTCCCTGTCACACGGCTCACATACCTGAACTCCCTATAGATGTTATTGAAAGCAAGTGATGCTCCCAGCCTCTTGGAGGCGCTGGGGTGCAGCGCAAGGCTGTACAGTCGCTTGAACAGTGATCTGGTGTTTACTGGACTCTTCTCCTGCTGCTGTGGTGTCGTTTGTTTAATGGACCATTTGAGGAATTCTCGAATACACTGACCACAAAAATCTCTTAAAGTACTGTCAACAGGGTCTACGATTCCATCCTGAAACAAAACAAAAAGGCCTTTATTATACTAATTTTTATAACTGTAAAATGACAACTGAATACCCTTGGTCTGCTTTTGAGCATAACTAAAGTATATTAGGAAAATTAATTTATAGCACCAGTCAACAAAAAATAAATCTGATCGTCTAGAACCTAGACTCAAATAACAATTTCCTTTTGACATAATGAAAATGCTTTCTTTTAAACAAATTAATAAGCTGAAAAATCCATGGAAAAGGGAGAGAATTCTTTCATTGTAACAACAGCCTTTCCCATCCCTGAAGAAACACGATGGCTGTATCTTAAGAATTTCTGTGGTTGTTGATTTTACCCCATAACAGCATCTGAGATGCTTTATATATTGAGGTTTAAGAGAATAAGACCCTTGGAAGTTCCAAGGAAATTGTATTGTGATATAAAGAAAAAGCATATGGAGGCATGGTTCTTAAAATATAACTTTCTGGAAGAACAGTCCCCATAAAGGCAGTCTTTAAATACCTGAAGAAAAGGGCTAAGGAAATTTGACCAACGATTACACAGAAATTTATTCTATTTAATGTTTAGTTTCCCCTAGGCATCATTCCCTCTCAGATCTATAAAGGAAAAGTTTAATTTGAAAAAGTACGCTCAACTCTGAAATAAGGGAATTCTGCCCAGTAGCCCCATTACTTGCTACATGCTGATCCCCGCAAGCCTAATCGCAAGTCCAGAGGGCAGCATAAGCCACGGCGTCGTGGAGCGCTGGTGTCTCGCTTCTCAGAGCAGTGGTCACGGTGCACGTGCTGACCTCGGGAACCGGCACCTCCACCAGGAGACCCACCGCTCTCCTTCGCTTGAGTGCTAAGCCTCCCAGGGCACATTTCTCCTACACCTTTTCTCTCCTCAACTGTCTCACTTCACTGTGCCATTTTCTTATCACACTTTTTTCTGAAGCTCTTACTTACGCTACTTCAAGGATCAAAGGGGGGAAAAGAAACAACTCAAATAAAAATTTCAAAATAGAAACGTTAGAATAAATTCACCTGAATGCAAATAAGCCACAAATTAAATTTAATTAACCATATTTAGCACAGGCAGGATTCACTGGGAGACACTACAGGGAATTAAGCTACAGATGTAATTGTGTCACACCCTAACGAATCATGTTCAGTCCCTCTCCACTGCCCGTCACGTGGCATCTGTCCAGGGTAACTCAGAGTGAAAGGAGCACTGTTAATTACCACACTGCCCCGAAGACACAGCCAGGATGACCCGTAAGCTGGGCCTGCCGCCAGCCTGCACCCAATGCTCAGCTTCTGCCCGACACCCTGCGGGCCGTGCCTCTACAGTGCTCCGGAGCAATCGGAGCAATCGAAACTTGAAACGACCCAAGTCTTCACAGACACCATATGCACCCAGTGCCTTTATTTCCTCTCTGGATGCTCTTATCAAGGTCCCAATTTCCTTTGGCTCATCTCAAACTTCACAGAAAGTGACACAGAGATGCAAAGTGGAACCAATTTGCAAGAGTACAGAATCAAAGGGTATGTGTTTGGACAAACCTGCTGTGCATTTAAGTGAGGCTTTTGATTCTAAGGTGAGTATGTGACAAAACGATGGGCTGAAACAGCAGGTAAAGGTAAGGAACATGTAAAGTTATCTGCACAAGTTCAAAAACTATAAAATAAATGCCAAAAGACACTACATGGTAGCTGACCTCACTGCCTCTGCCCTCAGTGAGCCAGTGACCAAATCCTCACGAGTCTACCCTCTGTCTGGGGGGAGCTCCATGTATAAGGAGCTCCTGTTTCTAGGGCCTGTTAGTTGTTGAACCTGAATGCAGGAGAAAATTAGATAAGTTCAAAATTCCTTTTACCCTTAAATTAAGCATTGTACTATGAGTAATTTGTGTTTTAAAAAAACTATTGTAAATATGATAAAAGTCTAAGAACATTCTTACTCTGTGCATCCTCAACACACACACACATCATTAAAGTAGACAAAATTTGTCAAATTTAGAACCATCCTCCCAGAAAACAGAACAAAACAAAAACACATGAACTAATACTTAGTTGCAGACGTTTAAAATATCACTTAGATAAATAAATATAGCATCGTGTCCATTATAATGGCATTTCACAAATGAAACAAAAAAGACAAAATGATCCAGCTAGATGCTACATTTTAGTATTCTGACAGGTAACTTTTTTTAAAAGGTCTAAATATACATCAAATACAACCAATCAATGGAACTAGCGGGAAGAGAATTAACTATTACTCACCAATATAGTTTCTAGTAAGGCGACAGTATCCTGACTTTCAAATTTCTTATTGTTAGTGAACCAGTGAATCAGCTGCATGACTAGTGGCTCATACAGTTGCCTTGTCACCTGAAGAAACAATACCATTATTGAGTTTGTTTCCTTTGTGCTAAAGTAATTTTACATTAGAAAAAGTACCATTTAAATGGCATTTGCAAGGCCGGGACCACATCCATAATCCTAGCACTCTGGGAGGTGGAGGCAGGAGGATCACTTGAACTCATGAGTTCAAGACCAGCCTGAGCAAAGAGCCAGACCTCGTCTCTACTAAAAATAGAAAAAAAAAAATTAGCTGGTCAACTAATAATAGAAAAAAAAATTAGCTGAGCATGGTGGCGCGTGCCTGTAGTCCCAGCTGCTCGGGAGGTTGAGGCAGGAGGATTGCTTGAGCCCAGGAGTTTGAGGTTGCTGTGAGCCAGGCTGACACCATGGCACTCTAGCCCAGGCAAAAGAGTGAGACTCTGTCTCAAAAAATAAAAATAAAAATAAAATAAATGGCATTTGCAGTGGGGCAAACTTAAGCAATACTACTACCACGGTTTTATCAGTTTCCTTTTCTAGTTAGTTCTATGATGAAGAGTCTGGCAAAGCAAAATATGCACACTAAAGCTCACTGTTCCTCTAATTAGGAGGGCAATTTAGGGTAGATATTGTTGGGTTTCTAATACTCATCTTTTTTAATTTGATCCTGAATGTGCACATAGGATAATCTGGGTCAGAGATTATCATTACTCAACTACAAAGCAAATAATGACCCCTTGTCCCCCACACCCCAACTGCTACCACTGTGATGACTAAATGAAAGACAAAATCCATCCAAGTAACAGAAATCATACCCTGCACACGAAAGAAAACATTTTTGAGTGCTATGAGATTCTACTTTTTGTAAATAAAACAAAATGTATATGCACATTTGCCAAGGTGTGTTTTCAGAAAGATCTGGGAGTCTATACACCAAATTTGTCCCAGAGGAAGGACAGCTTTGCCTGGGGAGTAAGCATGGGAAAGTCTACTTTTAGCTTCAAATGCTTTTATGTTAATTATGTTAGCAATGAAAAAGATCTAAAGATATACAGATGTTAAACTTTTCTATAATTTATTTATAGTTTTTTTTCCTTCTAAATCTTTTTGATGTGGAATTCATTTTTTCATAGGTGACAAAGACTCTCTCCCATGACCTGGTCAGGCTCCTCTGAACTCTTCTCAACTAGGCCTTGACTTCTGGGCTCCCATATTCATCCGTTTAGTGCAGTTCTAGCAGGAACTCGGCTGGGTCTGCTTAGTGAAAAGCCCCACCCTTAATGTCTGATCAAAGTCCTCACCGCTCCTTACCCCAGGTGATGTCTGATGGACAGGCCTGCATTCAACAAGAATCCTGGTCAGTTTAGCCTGAATCCCCCTCACCCCCCATGTTTCCTCGAGTGATTTCCACCCACTGACCCTCACCCTGCCACTGGCTATAAGTCCCTGTCAGTCCACACTGCACCTGGAGCGGAGCCCGATCTCCTTCCACCACTGCATTAGTCGTTGTGGCAGTCCCCTTGGAATGAAGTCTTCCTTAACATCTTCAACAAGTGTCATGAATAAGTTTTTCCATAACATGTAAGTCAATTGACCTAATACCATTCATTAAAGTAAATATCATTTATTAAATGATCCATTTCCCACTTGCTTAAAATGCCCCCTCTACCATAAGTACAACTTTTACATACGTACCTAGAGCCACTTCCTGACACCTAGCTGTCCCACGGAGCTATCTGTGTACTAGTTCAGCTTTTTATACTTCATATGGCCCCTTTTTAAGATCTGCTAGGGTAAGACTCTCTTCAGTACACTGCTCTTACGAAATATGTCTTTGTTAAGATCAAGCAATTATTCCTTCAAATTTTTTTCTTTTTTTTTGAGACAGGGTCTGGCTCTGTTCCCTGGGTTAGAGTGCAGTGGTGTCATCATAGCTCAGTACAGCCTCAAACTCCTGGGCTGAAGCGATCTTCCTGCCTCAACCTCCCAAGTAGCCAAGACTACAGGCGTGTGCTGCCATATCTGGCTAATTTTTCTATTTTTTGTAGAGACAGGGTCTCACTATGTTGCCCAGATTGGTCTCAAACTCCCAGTCTCAAATGATCCTCCTGCCTCGGCCTCCCAAAGTGCTAGGATTACAGGCATGAGCCACTGCACCTGGCCCAGATTAACTATTTTTGAAGTTCAAAATTGAAATTCTGGGCTTTTTACTGGAATTATACCAAACTTATGGATTGATTTGGAAAGACCTGACATTTTTTCAATAGTGATTCTTTTAACTTAGGTAAATAGCATATTCATCTTCTATATCCATAAAATATGTTTGCCTGGTACACTGAAGTTTATTCCTAGACATTTTTATATTTTTTATGCTGTTATGAATGGGCTATTTTCCAAATAGTCAATAAAGATATATAAAATAAGAGAATGACATATGAAAATACAGATATATAAGAATTCTATGTTGTAATTTGTCAGCTTCCTCCTTTATTATTATTATTATTTTGAGACAGGGTCTCACTGTTCCCTGGGTTAGAGTGCGGTGGCGTCATCAGAGCTCACTGCAGCCTCAAACTCCTGGGCTCAAGTGATCCTCTTGCCTCAGCCTCCCAGGTAGCTGGGATTACATACGCACACCACCACGCTTGGCTAATTTTTAAAATTTTTATAGAGATGGGGTCTCGCTATGTTGCCCAGGTTGGTCTTGAACTCCTAGGCTCAAGAGATCCTCCCGCCTCAGCCTCCCAAAGTGCTGGGATTAGGGGCGTGAGTCACTGCATCTGGTTTCCTTTATTAATTCTTATAATTTAACAGTTGCTATACTTGGGCCTTCTAGATGTAAAAACTTATATTCAAAATAATATTTTCTTCTTCCTTTCTAATATTCATTCTTCTATCATTTTCTAATCTTACAGCATTAACTAAAATCTCCCGAGTAATTAGTGGTGCCGATGTTCTAACTTAACGGCCCACTAACAAGTGTCTTTTGATTGCCTGCCAAGTGCCAAGAGCTGGGATGTTGGAGACGAGTACAGAACACCGGGCTCTCTGCCCTGCCCTCAGGGATTCTCACAGCCTATGAGAGCTCAGATGCTAAACTTGGGGAATACCTAATTGCAAGCAAAGCAACAACTACTTCCAGCAACAGGCACAGCTCCCAGTTCTGGGGGCCGACACAGAAGGGAGTACTAGTGCTTGACACAGAGGATGACTTGACTGTGAGCTTCAGGTAGATGTTCTTTATCATACTAAAGACAATATTAAACTATTTCTAGTTTGCCAGGTGCTGCAAAATGCCTATTAAGCTTCTATGGAGAGAATCACTGCTTCTTATAATAAATCTATTGCTGTAGTAAATTTCCAGTTTTAACCATAAATCCTATTTAATCAGGGTGCATCTTAACACACTGCTGGATTGTACTCATATATACTGCGGAATGTTCCATCTATATTTATAAATCAGTTTTGTGCTTTGTGTTCTTTATATGTGTGCCCCAACATTACGGTCATGCTAGTTTCATACAAGGAACTGAGAAGATTTTTATCTTTTTCTGCTTCATGGTGGCAGTGGAGATTTGCTCACAAAGACATCAGGAATGGGCCATTTGCCAACATTTCCAATCTCCTTCATGACTACTACCCACAGTTATTTATGTCTTCTCCAATCCACGAGAAGGGCAACAGCTAATTTACCTCCAGATACCTAGACTCTCAGTAATTGTTAACAGAA